AGAGAGAGATATGTGCTCCATCCCCACATAAAATTAGTCAAAACAATCTATTATACGCTAATTACAAGCACTAAGTAACTTGAGTCGAAAAGAATAAAGTTTTCTACGTGGAGGAGCAAAAAAGATGACTAACCTGCAATTTGAACTTTGAAGTTAATTTGCTGCTATGAAGGAGAATGGAGTTCTCTTTGTATTTGTTAAAAAAAAATTGAATATTCATTGCTTTTGGGAGATATTAGCAAACTAGCAGACAAAATAAAGAATTGGAAAAGACCATAAATTAGGGCGTCAATCAATAAAAAAGGTCTTGAGTTTTAAATTTAATACATTTCAAGACTTTTGAGAATTTGGGTATTATATGAAGGGCTTATTCAACAAAATTTATTTTAATTTGAAAAAGTCTCTGGGGCTTACGCCTCACTACAAAAACGCGCCTCAAACGCCTGGGCGTACGCCCCGAATTGCTGGGCGAAAGCCTCTTGAGACTTTCGCCTCACACCATCATCTCGGGGCATTTTTGGTGCGCCTCGCCCTAGGACTCGCCCCGAAAATGCCTTTTAAAACACTGATGAGAAGTAACATCTTGTTTGGATGGTTGTTACATATTGTATTGTATCGTATTGTTACTTTAAATCCAATATTTGTTTTGATTGTTACTTAAATTTTATTGTATCGTATCTTTAAACCCGTCGTTACGCAATGATAAAAAGTGTCACTTTATGGAATGACAGATTTGGTGTAATGGTGTCATTACCTTATATTTTTCTCTTATCTTGCCCTTCCTTATTATTAAATAATTATATTTTATCCTTTACTCTACTTTTTTATTTAATAATTATACTATGTATCCTATTTTTCTTAGTAATGTTGCAAGTTTATTCTTTATATAGTTTGTGCGTGACATCATGAAACGATGTCAAACTATACTATCTATCCTAACATACAATGCAGTATAATACAATACGATATATTATGAAACGACATATAAGAGCTTCCAAACAAGCTGTAACGGAAAAGGCAATCTTTATGCTTTTTAACTGTTATACCAAAATCCAATGAAAATGACACAACTAACATACTAGAAATAGTTGACACAATCAATCCAAACAAAATTAAAGTACCAAAAATACTGGCGCTCTCACCGCTATTACTTTTTCATGATTTCTAAGATGGACTTGTCTTACCAATTGGCCCCAAATATCTCCAATATTTTCTCTTTTTTCGTCCCTAGAAAACCCCCCTATAAATATACACAGTTTATTCTTTCCACTTCACCATATCTCCTCTTTCCTTCTTAGATCTTCTGTTTTATACACTGCAATATAGTCAATCCTTTGAAGAGATGGCTTACAATGCTAGGTTGTTGTTTTTGTCAATGTTCTTGGTGTTGATCACTTTCTCCAATGTGGTTGAGGTAAACAATATTGGTAATTATTAAAATTAATCAATTTAGGATCTTGATTAACACCGTGTTAATATAAAACTTGTTTTCCTTCTTCATTTGAGCAGGGTTATAAGAAACTCCGTCCTGAAGGTATATAGTTTCCTTATTTCTTCTTTTTCTTTAGCTTTACTGTTATACTAATTAAGAAAGGGTTCTTTTCCTCCTCGGGGAATAGCCACTTTTTAAACTTTTTGATTTGTAGATTTCCATTTTGTTCTTCTTTTTGTCGTCTGTTTGTGACAATTGGTGTAAAACTGTCTTAAAACTAGTACTTTTCGGCGCGAATCCGGATTATACGGATATCTCGAACATCGAGGAGGAAAAAAAATAAATTAAAGGTAGTAATTGCATCCGCTGGCGTAGCTACATTATAAGAAGGGGCTTCAACTTAAGCTGTTTCACTTTTATACAAGTAAATTACATGGTAAAAAAAAAAACAAATACGCACATACATTGTGAGAAGGAAGTCAAATTAAATTTGTATGTAATTTTTGTTGTAAAAAAACAAAAAAGTTATTATTTTTCTCTAGATATATCCTTATTGTTCTAGTTAATGAAGTATTACTTAAATAAGACTTGTAAGGTGAGATAACGGATAATTTAGACTAGTTCTTTTGGTATTAAATCAGGGAAAACCTTAGAAGACAAATAATATAAACGGTAGATAGCAAGGGAGGAGCTAGGGTGGCGGAAGGGACTCATACGATTTGCCAAAAAAATAACTGTATATATTATTTTATGCGTAAATAATAGATGTTGAATTCCCTTGGCTTGTTCGTGTATTTAATTTTTAATATTTTGAATTCTCTTGAAAATTTTTTTGGCTCCGCCACTGATAGGTAGAAAGTGATAATATAGTTATGTAACTTTAATATTACATTATGTTATAACAGATTGCGAACCGAAATGTAAATACCGATGTTCAGCAACGTCACACAAAAAGCCATGCTTATTTTTCTGTAAAAAATGCTGTGCAAAGTGCTTGTGTGTGCCTCCTGGAACTCATGGCAACAAAGAAACATGTCCTTGCTACAACAATTGGAAGACTAAGGAAGGAGGTCCTAAATGTCCTTAGACATACTGCACAATTTTAATTTCTTTGATTTGTTTCTTTAGTAGTTAGAGTTAATTCTTAATTAGGATTATATACAATTTTAATTATTCTATTGTTACATGAGACTCTTCGGTGAATTTTTATTAGTAGCTAGAAGAGTATTATGGTAAAATAAGAGACTGATGAGGAAGTATTATCATGTTCCAATTTTATTGAATGTTTATTGAAAGTGAGTTTATTTCTAGCTTAATTTTTTTCTCCCCTTTTATATTGTCTTTGATGAACGCCCTTTAAGTTAAATATATAAATAGATTGCAATATATAAATAGATTGCAATATATATATATATATATATATATATATATATATATATACATAATTTATTTTTAAAATAAGAAATTTAAAGTTATTAAGAATAAAATGAGAAATTTAAAATTAAATTGTTTCTTAATAATAAGTAACTGATGTTAGGACTAGTGGTAGAAACACAACCATACTGAATAAGATTTTGAGGAAATGCTTTGACGGGAAAAATTTACAGTTGTATTTGCATTAAACCAATTAATGTACGGCATGTATTTCAGTGTTTTGTCAATAATCTTTTATTACTTAATCATGATAAGTTTTTCATTTTAGATTCAAGAATAAAATCCAGTTTATCCCCTTAACCTTTAAGGGTTGAAAAACAATATCCCCTCACCTTTTGAACGGGAAAGTAAACCTCCTTTGAGAACATTTTCCGGTGAGTATTAGAATTTTAATTCAAGGAAAAAGTATTGCTGTAATTTTATTTTTCTTTTTTTCCCCCTTAAACTCTACAAACAAAAACATAAACTACTAGTTCACGGTTGTTGGGAAGAGGAGGCTGCACAGCTAGTTTCAATTTTACTTCTGTAAAATCAAAACTTTCTCTCCATTTACGAGATACAACACGACTAGTTGTCCAAGTCTAACTAGTATTATTCAGCAAAATGTATGTGTCTGTTAAAATCAAAGATAGCTTCTTTTAAATTTCGGACGATGGCTACATTTATTCTGTTGCAAAGTAATTTTTGTTGCGGGTATAGTACTAAAGTCCTCATTAGCGACCATCAAATGGCAATGTGGCTACGTTTAGCTATGGCTGTCTAAGGGGAGGGTACTGGTAGGGGCGGCTCCACTGATCTCGTGGCCTAAGGCGAAATCATATTGGGAATCCCTTAAATTTATTTTATAAAATATTTACACTAACAATAAAATTTACTTTTTAAATAACAAATTAATCATTTAAGACGAAAAAAGCAAATTTCGAAAAAAATATAAAATAATATCACAAAAAATAAAGTGGTAGATTATCGGATGTTGAGGCCCAGAACTCTAAGTGAAAAATTCGACTTGACTATCATCACAAACAAGAAAAAGAAATAAACGTATATAATGTAATAGCTTAAATTTTGAGCATTAACGGTGTCAAAAATATTTACTCCTTTTGATCAATTTAAACGATAATTGTAGTTCATTTTATTAAGTAGCACTTATTGGTGAATATCCAAAATAAATTATAAATAACCTAATATAATATATCGAATTACACATAAAAACAAATCGATGCATGCATCCTTTTGTGTTCATGCAATTTCAGAGAACATTGTAAAAAAAATTTATTATAATGTCGATACATATAACTTAATTCATATATAAAAAGAAAATAATTAAAATTGGCGTGTTAAGAAAATATATTAATTAATGAGGGAAGAAAATTATTATAATTTATAAATTTATTGGTATAAAATAACCTCAATCAAGTAATAAAAAATATATTATAATACGTTTCTTTATGCTAATTATTTATATAAATTATATAGTATATAGTAATAATAATAATAATAATAATAATAATAATAATAATAATAATAATAATAATAATAAGAAGAAGAAGAAGAAGAAGAAGAAGAAGAAGAAAAAGAAGAAGAAGAAGAAGAAGAAGAAGAAGAAGAAGAAGAATTTATAATAAATTAAGGCAATGGCCTCACTGCCCAAAGCCTTAGAGCCGTCCATGGGTACTGGGACATTAAGGGTTAAGGGTACGGGGAGGGTAAGAGTAAGAGGAGGGTTTCTTAAGAGTATTTTTCTTAACGGTATTTAAGGGTATGGGTTAAGGCTATTTTTTTGGGTACCCTACCAGTGCCCCTACTGGTCCTAAGGGTGCGATACTTAAGGGTGCGATACCGGTACTTTAGGGGTACTTAAGAGTAATTTTAAATTAAAAATTAAAAAAATTATATTTAAATACAAACAACCTTTAATGGATGAAAAATATTCAAGGCTGTGAAGTGCCTTTTATTTTATTTTATTTTATTCAATGTAAACATTAGATTTCTAATACAAGTTGTATATTTTGAACACTTATAAAAATAAAATTACATATTTCTTTTGAACGATTTACGTAGTTTTTCAAAAACTTTTCATGGCTCTTCAGTTGGAATTGGTAGCACTTGTTCGTCTGCGTCCCTGCCATCTCCGGTTGATAGTATTTCATTATATGCATCATTGTCTTCTGAAATTATTTCTGGAAGACTAAAAAATTTTCTCTCCGCTGTAATCCAATCTCTGAATAAAACGGTAGTTCCAAAGTGTCTTCTGCCAATGAGTGTCTGTGGTCTTCAAGTTAAAATCGTGTTGCATTGAAAGCGCTTTTTGAAAAGTTATACCAAAATAATTGAGTGCTATAAATGTTAATTATAATTAGAGATATAGAGAGATGGAGAATTAGGGAGATATGAGAGTTTTTGAATGAAAATTGAAAAAATAAAATTGGGTATTTATAGTTTTAAAATAGGGCTAAAGTATATTTGAACAAACTTAGGGGTTAAAAAATATAAATTAGGGGGTAGGAGGGATGTTGCGGGGCTAGGGAGGCAAAATAGCCATTTTGGTTGTTGCCAACGGCTATATTTAAATAAAACAAATGTTGGGTACCAGTCCAGTACCGGTGCGGTACCTTAAGGGTACTTACGGTACCGGTACTAAGGGTACTAAATCGGGTACCCTACCATTACCCTTACCTTTCATCCCAAATTCCTCACCCCTGCCCACCCACCGAAGCGGTACGGTCCGATTCGGGTACCCGTAATACCGTACCATTAGACAACCCTACTTTTAGCTCATCCAGAGGCATTGCATTCAAAAATCCTAACGTGAGAATGCTTTAGTAAGAATCATGTTGAGGGTAATAGAAAAAATACCTTAATAAATCGGCATGTTATTTGAGTATATGTTTATGCAAATGGATGAGCAACTTATATCTAATAAATAGGAGTTATTTACATATTTTAAATAGGAGAAGACTTTTATTCAAAAAAATGTCTTACCGGTAAATACTGCATAAAAGGGATTTATCTTTCCCATTCAAAAGGTGAAAGCGGTATTGTTTCCTAATCCTTTAAGGTTAAGGGGGTAAACTGAATTTTACTCTGAAAATGTGTACGTATTTTTTTAAGTTAAACTGTTTTATTTGATAAAACAAAATAGGTTCACTTACAAGTATTTTTCGTACTTTGGGGCACTTTTAGGTAGGGACGGGCTTCAAGATTAAAGTTTTTTTTATTACATTCATCAATTTCACCCCTTGATTGACCAGTATAGCAGAATTTTGAGCAAGTGATGTGATTTATACAAGTCAGTTGAATAAGCTATGATTCTCTTTAGATCATTCTGTGATATTCCAGTGGTTGCCGCAAGGAATGACATCATAGCTCAAAGACCTATCTGACCTTGAAACCTAGCGCATAACGTTGAGTTCTATTCGATTGTTGTCAAAGCAGCTTGTAAACTCCGACCATCGTCTTAATAAAGTAGCCCACCTCTCTTGTTCGAAAGAATTGAAACACATCAAAATGGTACCATCCATACTTAATAATAGAAGGATTTGGCAGAAATATATAAAATTGTCCGTCATTTATGACTTATCGGGACTGGTCGGATCGATTTCTAAAGGAAATGCCCGACTGAAGTCAAAGACATGTAAGGGGATAAGAAGATCAGTCTTTCTCCTCTGCAAAGCTATCAAAGAAGAGGAATAGAAAGGTTCAATCCTGTCAAGGAAACATCAATAAAGACCCTCTAAAATTACCCAATAGAGTAGAGTAAGAAACACTAAAAAACAAGCTACACAAGTAGTAGCAAACTATATCAACAATGTCTTTTTAAATAAGTTTGTGTAATGAATAAGGGTTTGGGGTAGGTTTGAGAAGGAAAGTAGATGAATTAGGAAAATGGCATTACAAATGAGGCATCTGATATTATTATTAGTAGAAAAGGACATATGGCAACTTATTAGGGAATAAAGGGTTACAACTGGAGATTAACATAATAAATCGGACGGTGGAGATTCAAGGCAGATTAATAAATATCAAAGGCCATGATTATTCCACACTCTAACTAAATACCGTTAAGGGCAACTAGCTGGGCAGTTATGATCGGGTATTTCCAACTTCCTCTTTTCTCTCTTCGATTCTCTCTTCTCTTATCTCTTACACTCTCTATTCTCTTTCAGGTACAATCTGCCATGGAAGTAGATTAGAGTGGGCTTGTGAAGTTTAGTGTTACGATTCTACATTTATAGCTAAAGTCAGAATTTGTAACAATTTCCATATTCAATAATAAATCCTTCCAATTTTGTGTCATTCAATCTTCTTTACTTCAAGTATATTACAACTTGGTATCAGGGCATCGATCTGGCCCAAAATGATGATTACAGAAACACGATAAAAAACTACTGAAGATTTGATTAAGAAATTAGACTCTCAACTGCAAAATTACATAGAGTCAAATAATTCAAAGATGGATGAGCTGGGTAAGAAATTAGACTTTCTAATAGAGCGCACCCTTCCCACTCAAGAAGGAATCCTTCTGGGAAGTGGGCCCAGAGACAATTTTCAGCTAGATGTCTCAGGGGGTAGGTCACATAGAGGAGATCATTATAAGGTGAACAGGAACCAGCGGAGCAATCATCATGCAAGGTTTGAGTTCCCCTTCTTCGATGAAGTCGACCCTTGCTCATGGTTGAGGAAAGGAGAAAGGTATTTCCACTATAACCAGATCCACGACCAGGATGAAAAGCTAGAGATTGCAGTTCTTCATTTGACAGGTAAGGCTGAGTCTTGATTTTTCTCCTATCATATTAGAAAGGGCACAGTTAAATAGAATGAATTCACTGATGAAATCTGTAAAAGGTTTCAAGGAGTTGCTAATAGTAAATTCAATTCAATT